CCTGAAGATAAACATTCAGTAAGGGCAAATATCTATAGCAACTCTGCTTCCAACCCAATAACTTTTCATATTTAGCCAGAATGCAATTTCTTAAAAATAGTATGTCATAATTATTAATATTAGTACACCTAGGTTTGAAGGAAAAGAGGAATCAAAACTAAATAGCAGTTGAAATTTTAGAATTGTTTTCCTTTTTTAGCTCAAAACCCAAAGTTTGGAAAAATTTCCTTTTCTACTACAGTGCACAAAACCCACCAGTCAGTCAGCATAAGAGTCAAAAGATATTGTCGAAGGCTTTCATGGCCGTAATCACTGGGTTGTTGTAGGTTTTTAGGGGAGGTCACAACCTCTGAGTATTCCTGACATAGAAGCAGGCGAAACATCAGGAGAGAATGCTTCTAGAACATGGCCATATAGCCCAAAAAACCTATAACAACCCAGTCAAAAGATAATTTCCATGCTTTTTTGAAAGTTTTGTCTTTGATGAAATGCTCTTATAAAATTACATTTCAATACAATAACTCTTGAAAAATGAAATAAATATGCTTTGGGAATTATTCATAACAAACATGTAAAGTCCTTGGCAAATAAACTGATCCAAAGTAAAGTCTTCTCTGTTTTGATGCCTGTTATGTTTTATGGAAATATAATGATTGCAGCTTTATAACTAAAACAAAATAAAGGCAGAGATCACACATATGTTTACATGTTGCTTTAATACATTCTAGGAAAGTACCATAGAAACTAATTGTAAGATTCTGAAAAAAATATGGCCACTATTAGTATTTTATGCTAGGTGGGGCATGCATGAAACAAAACAGATAATATGTATTTTATTTATTATTTTAGTGATATGTATATACTACCTTCAGGACCAAATTTCCCTAAACAGTTCTACCTGGATATAATGCCATGTGCTAAATTTCGCTAAAAAGTCAATTGTTTGTTTGAAATACAAATCGGGAATCTTTTTTTTAAATTCAAGATGTTGAAACATTAGCTATAACTCTGAGGTGGGAGAGCAAAAGAGCAGCTTCGGCATATCTTAGCCATAAATGCAAATATTTCTAAGTGCCAATAATTACAGTCATCCATCATACTTTCTATTATACCTCAGAGCTTGTCACAGGTCATCATCTTGAAATGTTCACGAAGTCTTAGGCACAATAGTTGAAAGCATCTGATTGCTAGCAAACCAACTTAAAGTGTTCTAGTAAATTGCCAGTACAGTAATGGTATTCTAAGAAGTGAATTTCTAAAGATATGCCAGAGGGCTACTCAATATATTCAACATACAACTAGGGTTCTATCAAGGAACAATGAAGCAAAATAATCTAAACAAAAATGTCTTGCCTTCAGGATATCAGGATCTGTTCAAAGTGATCTTGAGAGTGAACCCTTAGATGATTAATAATGAAACCCAGAGCTTGAGGCAGAGAAGGACCTAGGTCATTACACAGTAGAGAAAAATCTCAAAGATGCAATTGCAAAACACTGCAGGAAACAATGACTTATCTCATTGCTCATTGAATTATTGTGCCTCCTTGCCAAAATGGTGTCTGGGTTGCCAGACCGGAAAGGGAAACGTGCCATGTTGTCTTCCCTATAGGCCCATTTGGCTTTAGCATTTTGCACTATTATAGTGTGATTTTTTTCTCCGTGTTCTGTGAACAAAGATGTCAAATCAATGCTTGTAGACACACAGCTCTCTGCCACCCGCCTACCCTCAATCATCAGGGCTGATTCCTTCTTTTTGACTTGATGAGTCTCCCAGATTTGACAAGCCCCTTACGAAGATGAGCTCAAATGTGGGTAAGTCTTCTAGTTGGCTCAGGTCTTGGTCTGATGACCCTTTAGCAGTTGTGTCCCCCATTGTCCTCATAGATATACATAGATAAACATCATGTATGGTCCTACCATACATGATGTTTCTATGTATTATGGCCATTCCATCTCATGGGTTTGTATCATTTCATTGACAACTTGCTTGGTAAGGTAAGAAGAGATGTTTTACAGTAAATAAATAAATAAATGTTCTGGGTCTGAAGGCCCCTGATTATGGGCAAGCACTTCATTCTACCCCTTACCTCACCCTTCCACATTTTGTGTGCTCTATTCTGCTTGATAACATAGCCTATTGTCATGGTTAGTGTGCCTTATGCTCAGACTAAAAGAAACAAATGGGAGTCAGAGCATCCTATCTGGTCTTATCAGTGTAAATCTTTCTTACTCAGGGCAAATCAAACTTCTGTCACACCTTTTCTTGTGGGGCAATGGTCTGGGGCAAAAAGAATGAGAACAAATAGAGGGACCACAAGAAGTATGGAGTAACAGAGAAGAAGGAAGGAAATTAAGGGAAGATGGCTGAGCCAAGCAGTACCAATCAGATTTCATTTAGGTTTTGTGATACTTCTGGCCTTTCTCTGGATCTGTCTCACCACTCTTATAGGTACATCTGGTGGGAACATAGGGTTGATCATAGGTTCTGGAACTCCCTTCCCAGAGAATTTAAAATGTCACTTTCCTCACTTTCTTATCACAGAGTTGTAAAGACTTTTCTAGTCTGATAGGCATGTGATGGATGACTATATAAGGCCTGTCTTACACAATTCATATTACTAACTATAGTGTTTTGGTGTGTGTATGTTTTTTCTGCTGGTTTAAGTAGAAAAATGTGGGATAGATATAAATATAACAATTGGAGTAGTGGGAGTAGTGAGAAAATAATAATACGGTATTCTTATTATTATTGTTATTGTTATTATTATTGAGTTTACTTAGGCAAGCAATACCTAGAGAAATATTGCCTACAGCAGCACCTAATATTAATTTAGATCTTTAAAAATTAAATACTCAATTAAACACTTTATTTATATCCTACCTTTATTCCAAAAGCGGATCTCATGGAAGTTTACAAAATAAACAGGTACAAGTGACACCACATATAACCAAAAATATACCAAAATAAAGAGGAAAATAATATTTAACTAGACATGTCACTCATTTTTAATGCTCCAGGAGGCCCTATGTTTGTGGAGGTAATTTCTCCCAAAGTGAAGATCACTGATGAGAAGTGACCAGTCTTCAGACTTTCACTTCCTGTTTTTTTAGATGCCCACTTTATTTTCCCTAGATACTCATTCAGACACAGATTAGCTATTATACAAGTTGGGATGAGGACTATATAGCCCTCTGGATGTTGTTGGACTGCTGCATGTGATGAGGAGTATGGCACTAGCTGAATTCTGCTTTTACGTTTGAAGAAAGTCCATTAATAGATAATAATGGGTACAGTAGACTCTGTTTCCGTGCACCCATGAAGATTGGTAGATGTCAGATAAATGTAGTATCCAGTTGCTTGAGAGCTATTATTCAAATGGCCTAATATTATACCCCATACTATACCACACTACTTTTTCAACTGTGTGTCCTGACCTCAAATCAGGTCCCCTTAGCAAAATGTCAGGGTCCCAAAAAGTATTTCTGAACATCACGTAGTGACTGTTTTAGACATTTACATGAATCTGTTGTGCAGTCTTTATAGTGGACTCTGAAGATGCTTCAGCTGTACTTCATAAAAAGAAAATTAGCCTTCTTAGCAAGCCTTGCAAATGCCGATTTGTTGTTAGTAAATGTTTTATTCTTATACCTTTTATATATATATTAATATACCTGGGTCATATAAAAAATTCTCAGGCCAAAAGGGGTCCCAAGTGGAGAAAGTTTAAAAGCCCTGCTGTATCATACCATATACCCTGTATTGACTTGATACTAATATTGAAATATAGCAATTTAAAGCAAATAAAGGCAAATTTGTTCATTTCTGTTAAACATTTATTTTCCTGAACTTTTATTGAAAGTATTCCTTGGGTTGTTGTAGGTCAGGCTATATGGCCATGTTCTAGAAGCATTCTCTCCTGATGTTTCGCCTGCATCTATGAGGATGCTTGCCATAGATGCAGCCAAAACATCAGGAGGGAATGCTTCTAGAACATGGCCATATAGCTCGAAAAACCTACAACAACTCAGTGATTCCAGCCATGAAAGCCTTCGACATTACAAAGTATTCCTTGATTTTTTAAATTTTTTTTTTGCTGATCGCTTATAATTCTGGTTTCTTGAGTTTTGTTTAACTGAAAGTGGAGAGAAATGGGCTCCACACACTAGCCCATAAGCTCTGGATAAGGAATGCTTATCCTGTATCTGTCAAAGGAGGATTGGAAACATAGAACAGGAATGGGCAAAACTGCATGCAACCTCCCTTGATGCTTGTTTTTGGGATTCAAAGCCTCTCCAGATTTTCAACTGCCTTTTTTCTGTCAGCAAAAACCTGAATTGTGTTTCCCATAAGTTTCCAAAATCTGTTATCCACTTTTAAATTTTGGTTGCAAGTGGATTGCTTCTTTAAAATAAGCAATTTCTAAATGTAGAAATAAGTCTTTTCCAAAACAAGGAATGGACATTCAAACCCTGCTGGACTTGCTTTCTATTCTTGTGTGTTGCTTTCTCTGGCATTTTGTCACTCTCTGCAGACCCAGGGGCCTCAGGGTGAGCTGCCCATTTGAAGCAGTCAATGTGCATGATGAAGCTGCGGTCATCAAGCCCATTGCACACACAACTCCGTGCCTATTAAGCAGTGACAGTGTATTCTTTTCTGATCATTACATCTAAAGAGGTTCACATTTGTAAGTGTGGGGAATCTTCTCACCCTGTAATCAAAAAAGCATGAAAATATCAATGAAAGCAATTATTCTAAGAAATGATATTAGTAGTACTTTAAATAAATAAAATCAAAATTTAAACGTGAAACTCTTTACTATGGGATTGGTTTATACTAGAGCACAGTAGCAATCATTGTATTAAAGTCTGTATTAACCTAAGCCATGTGGTAAAAAAGAATGTGAGGAACAGCAAGGGACATCTGGCCTTTGATCTTGTGGTTTCTAGAATATAGTAATCTCTGTCTTTTTTTTCTTCTCCTCCCTCCGTCTTCATTGCAGCTGGTATCCAACATCCTCATCTTCATCTGTACAAACATTGTAGGGGTGTGTACACACTATCCAGCTGAGGTGTCTCAAAGACAGGCATTTCAGGAGACCAGGGAATGCATCCAAGCCCGTCTACATTCTCAGAGAGAAAACCAGCAGCAGGTAAAAGAAAATATAATTGACAGTTGATGGCTGATCATGATAACTTGATGGATGATTTTGAAAATGAGATGGTTATTTACACTTTCAAAACATTCCAGCTTGGGAGGAGAAGCAGAAAAGAAAACACACTGTTTTGGGAGGGGAAGATGAGAGAGAAATATATCATATATTGCAGGCAGTGACCTCCAGTCTTCACTGCCTGGCTTGACCCCATTATAAGCCGAGGGAGGCTTTTTCAGCCCATAAAAAGGTCTGAAAAACTCAGGTTATCTTCGAGTATACATGGTATTTGAACTTGGAAATTAGCTTTTGGATTAGTTTGCTTCCATTGTTTCAATGGGACAAGGTAACTTGCTAGATAATTTGGCAATTTTAAATGAAGCAGTGATTTAATAGAAGGCTGTCTTTTGTTGCTGCCTTTGATAAGTCCCTTCAGGGCTGCAAATGCAATGGTTCCCATGTCCATGATGGTGATGTCCTTCATGGTCAACCATTGTCTATGAAACTCAAGCCTAATCAGTAGACTACAATGGGTGTTTGCCCTACAATTTGGGGTAAATTGCTACCCCTGATTTTTAATTCTTCATGAAGTTGATTGAATTCTGATTGAGTGATTGAAGGGTCTACCAGAAACCATAAATTTGTACATGTTCAAATTGATACATTGCTCCCATTAGTCTTAATTAGTACAATCCTTCTGTGAGTGAGGGTCATGAGTTGCTGTGCTATTTAGTGTACATGAAATCATACACATCTTTAAACAACAGTGTGCTTTTGGTTAATTATGTGCAGAAAATTATGTATACAGATAAATACACAGTTGAGTCTCACTTATCCAACCTTTGCTCATCCAACGTTCTGCATTATCCAACACAGTTGCCTCCCACCATAATCCATAGCTGTTTCAATACATTGCAATGTTTTGGTTCTAAATTTGTAAATGCAGTAATTACTACATAACATTACCATGTATTCAACTGCTTTTTCTATTGATTTGTTGTAAAACGTGAAGTTTTGGTGCTTAATTTGTAAAATCATAGTGTAATTTGATGTTTCATAGGCTTTTCCTTAATTCCTCCTTATTATTCAACATTTTTGCTTTTCCAACATTCTGCCAGCCCATTTATGTTGGATAAGCGAGACTCTAATGTAGTACATTATGTGCATGGATTGTTGTAGAGTATAGCACAAAATTGCAGGTTCTTTTCATACTTGTACTCCAATATGCACACATTTATAAGGTTCATTTGTTTCTAGCAGTGAAATAGTAATCAGTTTCCTCACTATGGAGAAATGTGCAGAATTTACATCCTTAGGTTCCATCTTCATATTTTACACATGAAATATAAAGAGTAGACTCAAGTAATCTGCTGATTCCACATGCTTAAAATGTCTGAAGCCATCCTTAATGTTTACTATGTACTTGACATCATCCACATGGGTAGACAGCAAATCTAGATTTCATTAATGATATTCTGCCATGGGCTTGGTAGCTTTTTATAAATGATGAAGTAGCAAGAAACAATGCAGAGTTTGTCATACAGCATAATCTATCCCTATCAGGACATCTGCCATCATTTGGCTAGGTTAGCTGCTATGAATGACTGTTAAATTGAAGGAAGTCTGATTTGTTGTGATTTCACATTGTTTAATGACTATGTGGGTGAGATTCTAGAGGTCCTAGAGGCTGGTATTTTGGAAAATATCAAATTTTTTCCCATCCACCACAGAACTGATAGCTCAGTTTTTCTGACATAACCAGGGAGAGTCCTTTTTTTTTTTTTTTGCAAAGTGTGCTGCTGACTCCAAGCAGCAAATTCTGGGTGCTACAAAAGGATAGGAAAGTGTTGTTTCATTTGTATTATAATATCTTTTACTACTAAGGATGAGATGGACATGTTTAAGATTTTGCCTGCCACTTATAGCTTGGTTGGCTTTGAATACTACCCATCTTAACTTGGATCATAGGGGTTAGCATTTGCAGCTCCACTGAAGTTGCAAAATATCTTGGGCCAGGAGAGACAAAGAGATGTGTGTTTGTGTTGTTAAAGAGGGAGCAGGGATTTAATTGGATCATCTGTCTAACACCATAGGAGCGCCTCCTGCTCTCCGTACTTCCTCGCCATGTTGCCATGGAGATGAAAGCTGATATTAATGCCAAAAAAGAAGATATGATGTTTCATAAAATTTACATCCAGAAGCATGACAATGTCAGGTAAGTGCATAAAGAAAATGGATTGCAACTGCAAGACAATGTATAGTATTGAAAAAAAATTGAACGGAAGGAAAACACTACATCTGTTCCATATTGCTTTTCTGATGCCTTACATTTATTCTTACTCAAAATGTGAGGGGGAAACATGGGAGCGTTCCAGGGATATCTCATTTACCATTCTAGTAGCATAATTAGAAATAACAATTAAAAACAAAAAGGGTGTGTGTGTGGGGGGGGTATGTTTGAAGGCAGAGAACAGTTGTGAAAGACTAAGGGTTACAAACCCCCACGACATTCGCCCTCCAAAATAAAAATAGGCTCCCCATTTCAAACCTTCTAGGAGATGAGGAGGCCTTTTCACTATGTTTTTAAACTTCCCAGCAGCATTTTAGGTTTAGAAGAAATCAAAGCTGCACCAAACACAGCTTTCAGGTCTTGATGTGACTTGAAAAGCCATGTGCCTGCCCTCCTTTATCATTGGAGAAAGAAGCTAACATTTTGTAGTTTCATTTATGGCAAAATTGTCAGAAATTGCACATTTTATTTAAATAGTTTTGATTTTGGTTTGGACTTCCTATTGAATCAATACATGATATTTATTTAATCTTGCAATTATTTCAGTGGTTCTTAGTTGTACATATAAGTATTGCATGGAGGGGTTTTTTAGTGAAAAGGGATGGTAAAAAGTAACAAAATAATAATAAAGTACAGCATACTTTGAGGGTCTTACCTGAAACATAGAGAGTTTCTCATTGCAAGAAATAGAATGGGCTAATTTGCGTCTTTGTTGTTATTTTTTTTAGAGTAACTCAAAGAGTGACCTAACTGATAAGTTACTGGAATAATAATAATACTATTATTATGAATAATAAAACTTTATTTGTATCCCACCACCATCTCCCTGAAGGGACTCGGGGCAGCTCACAGTAAACAATAAATAGTGCAACAAAATACAAATACAACAAAATACAGAAAGGTAAAATTAATAACAATAAAACTGACCCCGTTATACTTAAAACACAGCAATAAAACCTCTATCAATTTAAAAGATACTATAATATTCTGTGTATCATTTTCTTGGGTAGGTACAACTAGTAATGATTTTGTGCCTAGTGAGTCTGAGTAACTTTACATCCATTCGACACAAAGCCATGGGCTGAATCCAGTTGTTACTCCCACCTACAGGTGATCCGTCGAATTAATGGGACTTGTGTAAGTGTTGACTTCATAAGTCTTGTTTGTTCAACCGGTCTACCACAGTTAAGTTTAACCATTGAGTTTGGTCCAGTGTGCTCACCTGTAAAAGAACATAGTTTCCAGTGAGGTAAATTCAACAGCTGTACCAGAGCAAAAAATATTTAGACAAAAATGTTTGGATTGACAGATTTAGGATCATGGGATTAATTGAATAATTAATCTACTGAAATGATAGTACACTGTATATGATCTATGGACTGCAACCTGTGCTTTTTAATTAGGAGTAATCTGTTTTAATTGGCCTTGTTGACTCCAGACTTATATCTGTTTGGCACTTTTATGTGGCATTTGGAGAATGAAGCTTTCAAGATCAGACAGCAGCCTCACTGGATTTAAATCCCCATTAAAGAATGTCATATAAATAAACAACTAGTTTTTAAAGGAGGGCGGTTTGCTGGGATCAAGAAAGAGCTATTAAAATGAGAACATGGTCACAAGAACATTATAAAGAAAATAACTGGGGGAATTTGCTTAATCCAATTTCTATAATATAATATAGTTGGGTGAAATTGTTATATTTACATAATTGGGTTAATAATAACATTCCAAACTTTATGCTATGTTTATATCTTACATAATTACTGTTTATTCCATGTGATTTGCAACAGGATAAAAATACAGGACATTCATGTGGTCTTGTTATATAAGTTTACAAGTGCAGATTTGTACAAAATTGCCTAAATACCACTGGTAACTCAAATAATTGCTGTAGCAATTCAACATTAAATTGTAAATAAAAATAGTGAATTATATAAGTGAAGAATTTTATTAGTGCCGTGGATTGGAATCTATCATCCTTTCAATGTTTGTGATGTTCAGATTATTCTTAATATCAGCTACATATGAAGCATTAGATTGGTTGAATATACAACGGTAACTAGATGAATACTGAACAATTATTCATAAATTAAGATCCTATATAGTCCCAAGCTTTACATTCTTCACCTTACCTTTCTCTCCCTTTTAAAGCATAATGCTTTGCATTTGAGTGGCAAAATAGATGGCACAAACTACATAATGTGCTGAATATAGTCAATACAGGCACAGCCACTGAAACCATTCCTCTCTATGAGAGCCATGATCCCTGCCCACAATAGCTAGAAGCACTTATTTTGTGGGGATTGCACCGTGCACCCTCAGCCTCTGCAAACTTGCTCCATATGTTTAGTGAAGAGTTGCAATAACAGCTAACATCTACCTAATGCTTTTTTAAAGTGACAGGCCACACAGCAGCAAATCAGTGGGAGGAATTTGTTTTATCCCTGACAGGAATAGGAACCAATGCTCTGACTCTTGCATGCCTGAAGTCATATTCACAATGCCTTTTGGGAGCAGAAATAATAGAACAAAACAACTAGGCAGACAGCTGTGCTAAACAAACAAAGGCTAGAGAGACTCAGCATTAGCTTCCTCATCCCCTTCAAAACAAAAGCTCATCCACTCCACCCTGATGCAAACCTCCCTTAGAGTGCTTTGTGGTAACACTTGCCTAAAGGCAGGCCTGCTCAATTAGCAGCTTGATGCCCATACATGTTGGGTAGCCTTCCAAGAGACTGGAAGGGCTGATTTTGCTCCCTGCCTCATTCTACACAATCAACACAACTTATAGTGCATTACTGGTGCGCCGATTCTGCCTTGCTGGTCCTCATCTAAGGTGCTTCTTGGGAACATTACCAATTGTGAGTTTTAATTTTGTATTCCTTGATGTACAATCTGCTGTAGATCACAATGAGAACTCTAAAACACACATATATTTAGGTTGCTGTGACTTTTACGAGCTGTATGGCCATGTTCCAGAAGCATTTTGGCCTGATGTAGCATCCACATCTATGGCAGGCATCCTCATAGTTTCTTTACCTACTGTAGTCTTCATTAGACACATGTAAGAAGGTCTTGTCTACATAAGTGAGAGACCCACACCTACATATGCATGGAGCTTGCCAACTACATGCTTTTCTTTAGAACAGAGGTTGCAAACTTGTGGCCCTCCAGATGTTTGGGCCTCCAACTCCCAGAAGCCCTAGCCAGTTTCTCCTACGACAAGGAATTCTGGGAGCTGAAATCCAAAACAGTGGAGGGTCACAAACTTGACACAACTGCTTTAGAAGCTGGAGCTGTTCATAATTATTTTTTGTTTGTTTCCTGCATCAAGTGCGATTTCATGTATAACACAGCTAAAAACATTGGATATAAAGGAACAAAATATACTCTGGGATGGAACAGGGGTGTACAGAAGTGATTATAATAATATGATTATAACTGTATTTGTGTTTGCATTGGTTGCCCTAAGGCTGGAGCGGCCTAGCTGTGAGGAGTGTGTTACCATGGAAACGATGCTGCAGAGGAGTGGGAGGAGCTTAGAGAAGAGTGTTTTTGAAAAGCGACAGTTAAGAGTCAGTCAGGTTTGAGACTCAGAGAAGTAAAGAGTCAGGTTTTAAGCTCAGAGGAGTGAAGAAGCAGGGTTTAGGCTTAGAGGAGTGAACAGTTATGTAGAGAGAAAGTGGGAGGTAGAGAAACAGTGTTCGTGAATAGTCAGAGATTTCTTCAGTTAGGAAAGCTGAAGGGAAAAACCTTATTAGTTTCTTTAGTTAGAAAGAACTAACAGAGGCTTGTTTAGATCACTAGTTAAAAGAACTAGAGATCTGGTGTTTGATCACAGGAAGGATCAAGCAGGGAGACTATTCACCACAGAAAACATTGTTTAATAAAGTGCTTCACCACAGCAAGAGTTTTATAAGTTGTAACATCGGAAGTCTGAACTGTATCGCAACCAAGTTACATGTAACGTTCTCCAAGTATTTGCCAAGCTTAACATCAAACTGCAACCATACGCTTTGTTACAAAATAAACTTGTTCTCTTTGGTTTTTAAAACTGCCTCATCTCCATTAATTCTACGTTCGGTGTACCCAATCATACAAAATTACCTCACAACACAAATAGGGTGGCATCCAGTGGTATTAATACCAGAGCCTTTTACAAATCGGTGGCTCCTCTCTCCTAAACCTAAGCACTTCCTTGCAATTTGGTGGCGGCTCTTCGCAAATTAGCGGCTTCGTTACAAATTGGTGATAGTAGCTTTACAAGGGGAAAAAGATTTGACTTATTTATCCTTGAATGCTAGTCCTGGTCAGCCATAAAACACTTTAGTCAAGGCGCTATTAATAGTATGTGTAAGGAGTGTTAATGATAAGGAAAACAATCTATTTCAGACACATATATAACTGTATGATGTGAAATATCACTGTTTATTGTTGGTTTATGGGCAAGCAAAAATCTCCACCCACAGAAAGTTTCTGTGTAAGAAAGTACAGGAGGGCAAAACAAGCCTGCATCTTGAATTTGTATGCTATACACATTTCTGTGTAAAATATAATGGTCATTGTCAAGATCAAGAGGTGGAGTTTCTAGGATTTTACAGTCTACTTTTAAAGATAAATGACATGAATTATGCGTCCCAGAAAGTCATTTCTTCCCATCGAGTACCAGTCCATGGCAGATGTAAAAGGAGTAAAATATCCATAGATAATGAAGTATTCCACCAGTGCCTTTGGTGTCAAAACGTAAAATGTCCAGTTATTCTGTTAATGGTAACCCATTGCCATAATAATCTCTAAACAGTGCCTGGAATTGGCTAAATATAGTCATTGTGGTGCTGTAAAAATATAAGTGCTAAGATCAAGAATAAAGGTTGGTTGTCATTTGCATTCCACTAAATTCTGGTGTTCGTTTCAAAGATAGTATC